GTACCATAAACTTTTGAGGAAGAACCACCCAAATATCAAAATATCAGAAGATATAACTATGAACAGTCTTGGGACACTCTCTGACCTCACTGTTTTTTGCTGTCATATATTACTATATGCACAAGAAAGAGGTTAACCCATAGGGGTCATACAGTACACCTTCATATGTGAAGGGATTGGATATTCAACAGGCATCTGTGAGCATGCTGGATAGAAGAGAGTGAAAGCAACTGCTTATTATGATTTGGCATGCTGTTGGAGTGTGAGCAAGGTAACATTTATGAAGGAATTCAGGGAAACCAGTAAGCTGAACTCGAACCCTGAAGAGAGTACAGTGTCTTCAATCTGAAGGAGGTATGAGAAAATGTAGTTTGGAAGGTCATCTGGAGTGAAATATTGACACAACTGCGTATAACCCAATCTCTAATATGCCATTATTGTCTTAAATCTTTGAAATGATAATATATAAATGAATATATGTATTTATTTCTAAACAGAACAATCTTAACTCCTGCCAGTTTGACTTCAGGCCAGGAAAGACTCTTTCTATTCAACTCTAGAAAATAATGAATATCCACAGGGCCCCTTGACTTGTCTAAGAAAAGTATTTGATACTGTAAATCATATTATCTAGCTGATGAAACCAGAGCAGTATGGTATCAGAGAGCATGCCTTCACTTACATAAAGTCCAACCTCACCAACAGACATCAGCATGTGGCAATCAATGACACTATCTTATTAACACCAAATATCAACATAATGGCACCTCAGGGTAGTGGCCTTGGCATACTACTATTCATTGTCTAGATAAATGACCTGCCAAATGCCTCCCAGGAACTTAAACCAGTCCTGTTTGCAGAAGACACAATACTTGTCATATCTAATCCAGATTTCTGTGAAACACAGGTGTTGTTCAGGTGGTTCATTCTGCTGGAATGTTGGTGTTGAGAAATGTGTGTTATGGTCTCTCCATTTTTCACCCACGTATATTTGGTCAGCAATTGCAAGGGATTGATTTGAACTACCTGAACACTTGTGTTTCACACAGAAATTCACACCACCAGCAGTGGCACACATATCATTATCAAAGACGATGACACATTGAAATGCAGGATTCTGTAATTATCATTCCAGAACGTCTTCCACAACATAGCTAAGCCTGTTGCCAGGAAGCTTCTTGATCATTATCATACATAGCAACTGGTCACAGAAGAGAGGAACACTAATGTAGGCCTACTGGCATAGGCTAGATTGGTCTATCTCAAATCAAACCTCTTTCAAGTCAATATTTATCCAACCTGTTACACAAGAAGTTTCAATATATCTCATTTGACTCTTCACATCACAATGTTCCCTACATATATGCACAACTTCTCTTCTCTGGTAGATTTGCTACGACTTGATAAAGCCCACAGTGTGGGCAAAACATTCTCAATAAAGGATCACATTATAATGCATTTGTGTCTTTATCCACTCTGCCGTATTTTGTGCCATTTCTTTCTACCTAATACCGATGTGAAATTACCCAGCTGAATGTTATGTGGTCAAGCAGTTTTTTTTAATTATGTTTCAGTCTGCATATATAGTCTTTATTATATTTATGACCAAGCACTAAACCTATAGGAGTCATACAGTGCTTCCCTTGAAGGGCATTCTTTAAAAATCACAATAAAAAAATATTTACTGTAATAATATTACAGTGAAGCCATCTATAATCACTGAGGTTACATAGTGTTGGTTTATGTATGGTAGTGCAAGCACCATCTACTGCAGCCAGCAACTCAAGATGTAAAGTGAATACTGAATGTAAGAAGAAGTTGGTAAGATTTACAATCATCTTACATGTTCACAAGACATAGAAGATATGTCTTGTGAACATGGCAGGCCAGTAGTTGCTGTTTACCAACCTACTACTTACTGAAAAGAATAAAGTCACTATATTGTGGATGGAACAATACACAAATAACCTGCATTTAGAAGAGAGAAATTTTTGACACCATTGAAGTCTGACATGGACCACTGTCAATGGTTCAAGTTGGATTGAAATATCTTGAAAGACTTCCCCTCTCCTAAATGTGGGTTATTTGTGTACTTATAGCCATTAATTTCATCTACCCATATAGAACTGCAGCTGCATAATACCTTCTAGATCAACTTAAAGTATACTAAGGAAAGGATGGAATATTTCTCTAAATGAGTATTACCTACCACAATTATGATAAGCGAAAGTATTAAATAATGAATTCATTTAGGTTATTATTCAGTCATTCTTGCTTTAGCTCAGTATCATTATAATTCAGCATTACCATCTGAAAACTTCTTTACCATAATGTATTATCCTATAAATCTTGACAGACTATTTTATTACAGTATCAAGACAAGTTACATGCAAAGCAGACCATATCCCTCAAAACTACCTTTTTCTACCTGGGAATTATTTGTTAATATCAGGCAGAGGCATAAAATTGCATGGTGATACTAAAACATATTTGTTGCCCAAATGATGATCTACACTGCTTTTAAATATCAGAAGGACCATGATGGGACAACAATTTTGATAAATGATTATTTTGCCAATTAGTATATATAGCTAAAGTGTGACCTGTTGAAGTAACATCATGGGCAACTCTTGGCTTTAGCTGACAATACTAGGAATGGTATACAGCTTTTGGAATTTTCAGGCCATACTGATGCTACTTCAGAGCTGAAGTGTGACCAGCTAATACCTAACCTATGAGTCAGATGACCCTAATACAGCAATGCAAAACTTTTCTGACCAACCAAGAACCAACCAGCTAAACCAATTTTTTTAAAAGAATTAGAGAATTGTTTAACGTCAGGTGATCCATCTGGCCTGGACAGACCACAGTGTGAATATACCTGGAATCAACATGGAGGAAACACTGACAGCTCCAGCAAAGCCAGGACTGACACTTCATCATAAAGTTAATGAATAATAGAAAATATATATACAGTAGAGCCCCACTTACATGGCAGGTTAGGTTCCAGGCTACCGCCAGAAAGCAGACATCGCCGGAAAGCAGAACACTTTTTTTCCACTTATAAATTCATATAAATGACAGAAAACAAGTTTACACTAACATATATTGAGTTAGCAATAGAACTAGGCATTAAAAACAAAAAGTAAAATACACACAGTAAACTTATTACTTACCTTAAAATATTTGTAGTCTTAATGTAGGGTAAGAGGTGAGTAGTATTTATTTGTAGGAAGTCAGTTGCAGGAGGTATGGTAGCCAGCCAGGACACCCCACCCACACATAATATACTACAACATTTAAGGTGCCCTAGAGCAATAAAATGCATGTACGGTACACTCATTACTTACCTTAAAATATTTGTAGTCTTAATGTAGGGTAGAAGGTGAGTAAACGAGGTATACAAGAGAGAGAAAACAAGTAAATAAGAGAGGAGAGAGATGTGAAGGATGTAAACAAGCAGACGAACGTGTCTGATTTTGGTCCATACATGTTCATCTACAAGTAACATCTCATATTTATGTTAATTTATTCTACTCTGGAGCGTATTTATCATGTTATATGTTACATAGCGTGTTTATTATATAATTCTGAAAAAATATCATAGATGGATTAATGAAAATGTTTACAGGTCTCCCTCAACATTCGCGTTTTCAACTTTCGCGGGCTTCACACATTCAAGAATTCCCAACTGCCAAATTCCCAACCACCAAATTTCCAGCCGCCAAATCATATTTAAGTTTCCCGCCACCCGCGAGTCCTGACTACCCTCCCTCCGACCCCCAAAACTGGCAGCCAGCCCTCCCACCACTCAGTGTAGTGAGTGTTTTGTTTATTCATTATTTGCTATTAAACTACAATATAAATAATGTCAACCCACTCATGACTGACTATTGGAATGGCTATTCGGACAGGTATTGGACAGTGACATCATATGTTTACTCTTGAACACGGCAAAGAATCAAACATTTCTGCTACTGCTATTAATAATAATAATAATAATACGATAGCATTGAAGGAAATTGTACAAAAATACGAGGGTTGAAGCAGTGGTGGAAGAAGTGGTTGAGGCATCGTCAGTCAGTGTGGCTTTGTTTATGCTGGAGTGAGCATTAGTCTCCACACTCTTCCAAATATTTCACAATAATTCATTGTTTTGGTGCTTGTAGATTGAGTGTGACTGCTATATAATTAACCATGGGCCCAAAGAAACTTCCTATTGCCAGCCCTTTGGTAAAGAAATTGAGAAAGAAATTGTACCAAAATATGAGCAGTGCGCTGCAGTGGTTGAGGTAAGATAAGATTTCGTTCGGATTTTTAACCCCGGAGGGTTAGCCACCCAGGATAACCCAAGAAAGTCAGTGCGTCATCGAGGACTGTCTAACTTATTTCCATTGGGGTCCTTAATCTTGTCCCCCAGGATGCGACCCACACCAGTCGACTAACACCCAGGTACCTATTTGCTGCTAGGTGAACAGGACAACAGGTGTAAGGAAACGTGTCGAAATGTTTCCACCCGCCGGGAATCGAACTCGGGCCCTCCGTGTGTGAAGCGGGAGCTTTAGCCACCAGGCCACCGGGCAGTGGTATTTAATAACATACATGTTATTAAACCATAACATGTATGTATTTAGTACAATATTTTACAACATTTTCATGTACTTTATGATTGTTCATGTTTCAACAAGTTAAGGAAGCAGTATTGTATTGTATTTCCCTACAATATAGTGTTGGGGCACCAAACATTCGCGATTTTTCAACATTCGTGAGGCTCCTGATCCCCTAACCCTCACAAATGTTGAGGGAGACCTGTATATTAACGTAATATACGATATTTAACCCTATCAGGGTTGGTGTCGTACTAGTACGGCTTGCACGCCAGGGTTGGTGCCGTACTAGTACTTATAAATTCTAGCTCCTTCAATTCTAGCGAGAGAAAGCTGGTAGGGATACATATGAAAGAATGGGTCTATGTGATCAGTTTGCGCAGTATAAAAAAAATCCTGCAGAACACAGTGCATAATGAGAAAAAAAAAACTCTGACCGTGTTTTTGGTTTAAAACAACAACTTTGCAGTGTATTTTCGTATGCTATTTATGGTTGTATTCTAGTTTTCCTGGTCTCATTTTATAGAATGAAGTTATATTACAGAAATTGAGATGATTTTTATTGGTTTCACAATGAAAAGTACCTTGAAATTGAGCTCAAAGTAGCAGAAATGTTAGATTTTTGCCAAAGTTCAAAAGTAAATAAATCAAGCCATGCATCCAATACACGTCAACCGGTGAGTCTAATATTCTGTTACAAGTGGCTGATATTATTTACACCATTTCTACACTAATGCAGTAGCCTGCATAACAGTAAATCTTCTATTTTTTGTGAGAATAAAAATTCAAAGTGGACAACAAAAGAAATGTAACAGAGGCCTGGAGACGTGACTACTGAACAGAGGAAATGTTATTTTAGTGCCAGGAATGTCTGTCTTGTTTATTCTGGACCCTATTTGGAAATTGACATCTTTTGAAATTTGTGTGAAATTGGCAAAATTGCCAATTTCGGACCACTTTACTGGATAGTTGAAGTCGGTAAATGGGTAGTTTCTTGTACTCTTTCGATAGAAAAAATAGAGTTCTAGCGAAATAGTTATGATTTTTGTCGACTGGTACATTGGAATTGGCCGAAAATAGGGCTCAAAGTGGGCGAAATTGCCGATGAGTAAACATAGTAGAGACTTACTTCGCGAGAGCATAATTCCTTAAGCTTCCCATAAAATTTCATACTTTTTGTGTCATTATGATCGGGAAAAGATTCTCTATCATTTCGTAAGAATTTTCTTTTTTTTTTTTTTCGAAAAATTGCCGACCCTGAAAGGGTTAATGAGCCTCAGTGATTATTATTGCGTATTATCATTATTAATATGGTGTACTCAAGACTAATAAGACACTCTTAGTGATTTTAATGTGTACCTGCATGCCAGCACTGTGTAAGTTTATTTAGGTGCAGGTACACACCCTGCCTCGGTGGGAGACGGCCAACTTGTTGAAGAAAAAAAAAAAAAAAAAAAAAAGTATAATTATCAGAGTACTGTACATATAAAATATGTAATAACTTTAAAACACTTGAAATTTTGGAAAGTTTCCAGACATAATGGAGAGATATGGTGACCATATTAGTGAGTTCTGGTCATAATTTGAAATGTCCGTATTAGCGAAATGCCGTAAAGCGGGGCCCTACTGTATCTCATAAACACCATCTCATATATTGAAGAACAATTATATCTCCATCAAATATCACAGATCATTTTCCAGTACTGTACACAGAGTAGTTCACAACATTTCTAACCCTAATCAGCTGTAAGTGAACATTTTCCCTCTATATTTTCACTACTATCATTCCTCCCAGAAATTCTTCATCTACTGTACCTAAAATACTTTCTATTTCCAGTGAAAAAATATTTATTTTCACAAGTGCTAATGACATTCCAGTCATTATTTGTAGAGAACAACAATGCAGACTATGTTAAGAGGCTGGCGAGCTAATACTTATGGTATACACCACCAGCACGCACTGTGTGTTCACACAAAACTCAGTCATCATCACTGCCATCTTAAGATACTTTGGAGCAAAATTATGTTTGAATGTTCTGTATACTGCATCAGCTGCTCTAATTATTTATAAGAAAAGAAATTCAAAATTCGTTCTTAATACAAATACTCAAAACCTTTTTTTCAATAAAGCACAACTTCATTTTAAAAAATAAAAAGACTATCAATTTAAATTAAAAAAGTAAAAGGTTTTAGGATTAGCTATAAAAATGTAAGAGGATATATACTAGAGAATACTTCACCAAAATAACTTACACTTATAAGACAATAAAGTCATGCTCTTTTTTTTAATAGATACCAGAATGTTTTCAAATTGTACAGTAAGTGATTTATTATTAATGGCAGTAAATGATTTATCATGAATCACCATTCAAGTCCTAGACAAAACAGCAGTGCTAAATTCAAATAGAATTCATTCATAAATCTGATGTATAATCATTCAACTGACTCTACCAATGAAAAACATTAATAGTTAGGTTTCCCGGGCACTACAGTCTTGGGAGCTGGCTGCCACCACCAGAGTGCATTGTATTTCTTCACACTTTCTACTTCCTTACTGGTGAATTTAAGGATAACAGATATTGCATTCAACATCAGTTGACGGGACTCTGCATCTGAACTTATCATATACTGGAGGACAACATTTTTCAGGTACTCAAAGTTTTCACTCTCTCGAGAAACATTTCTGCGATGTCTGGAAATGATGGAAAAACAATGTAAATGCAGCAATAAATAAAGGAAAACTTTATAAAACTGGGATGCTTGAATGTGCGTGGATGTAGTGCAGATGACAAGAAACAGATGATTGCTGATGTTATGAATGAAAAGAAGTTGGATGTCCTGGCCCTAAGCGAAACAAAGCTGAAGGGGGTAGGGGAGTTTCGGTGGGGGGAAATAAATGGGATTAAATCTGGAGTATCTAAGAGAGTTAGAGCTAAGGAAGGGGTAGCAGTAATGTTGAAGGATCAGTTATGGAAGGAGAAAAGAGAATATGAATGTGTAAATTCAAGGATTATGTGGATTAAAGTAAAGGTTGGATGCAAAAAGTGGGTCATAATAAAAGTGTATCCACCTGGAGAAGAGAGGATGTGGTAGGTAAGTTTGGGGTGCCAGGTGTAAATGATAATGGGAGCCCTTTGATTGAACTTTCTATAGAAAGGGGTTTAGTTATAGGTAACATATTTTAAGAAAAAGAGGATAAATAAGTATACAAGATATGATGTAGGGCGAAATGACAGTAGTTTGTTGGATTATGTATTGGTAGATAAAAGACTGTTGAGTAGACTTCAAGATGTACATGTTTATAGAGGGGCCACAGATATAGCAGATCACTTTTTAGTTGTAGCTACACTGAGAGTAAAAGGTAGATGGGATACAAGGAGAATACAAGCATCAGGGAAGAGAGGGGTGAAGGTTTATAAACTAAAAGAGGAGGCAGTTAGGGTAAGATATAAACAGCTATTGGAGGATAGATGGGCTAATGAGAGCATAGGCAAGGGGGTTGAAGAGGTATGGGGTAGGTTTAAAAATGTAGTGTTAGAGTGTTCAGCAGAAGTTTGTGGTTACAGGAAAGTGGGTGCGGGAGGGAAGAGGAGCGATTGGTGGAATGATGATGTAGAGAGAGTAGTAAGAGAGAAAAAGTTAGCATATGAGAAGTTTTTACAAAGTAGAAGTGATGCAAGGAGGGAAGAGTATATGGAGAAAAAGAGAGAGGTTAAGAGAGTGGTGAAGCAATGTAAAAAGAGAGCAAATGAGAGAGTGGGTGAGATGTTATCAACAAATTTTGTCGAAAATAAGAAAAAGTTTTGGAGTGAGATTAACAAGTTAAGGAAGCCTAGAGAACAAATGGATTTGTCAGTTAAAAATAGGAGAGGAGAGTTAGATGTATTGGGAAGATGGAAGGAATATTTTGAGGAATTGTTAAATGTTGATGAAGATAGGGAAGCTGTGATTTCGTGTATAGGGCAAGGAGGAATAACATCTTGTAGGAGTGAGATAGAGCCAGTTGTGAGTGTGGGGAAAGGTCGTGAGGCAGTAGGTAAAATGAAAGGGGGTAAGGCAGCCGGGATTGATGGGATAAAGATAGAAATGTTAAAAGTAGGTGGGGATATAGTTTTGGAGTGGTTGGTGCAATTATTTAATAATTGTATGGAAGAGGGTAAGGTACCTAGGGATTGGCAGAGAGCATGCATAGTTCCTTTGTATAAAGGCAAAGGGGACAAAAGAGAGTGCAAAAATTATAGGGGGATAAGTCTGTTGAGTATACCTGGTAAAGTGTATGGTAGAGTTATTATTGAAAGAATTAAGAGTAAGACAGAGAATAGGATAGCAGATGAACAAGGAGGCTTTAGGAAAGGTAGGGGGTGTGTGGACCAGGTGTTTACAGTGAAACATATAAGTGAACAGTATTTAGATAAGGCTAAAGAGGTTTTTGTGGCATTTATGGATTTGGAAAAGGCGTATGACAGGGTCGATAGGGGGGCAATGTGGCAGATGTTGCAGGTGTATGGTGTAGGAGGTAGGTTACTGAAAGCAGTGAAGAGTTTTTACGAGAAGAGTGAGGCTCAAGTTAGAGTATGTAGGAAAGAAGGAGATTATTTCCCAGTAAAAGTAGGCCTTAGACAAGGATGTCTGATGTCACCATGGTTGTTTAATATATTTATAGATGGGGTTGTAAGAGAAGTAAATGCGAAGGTCTTGGCAAGAGGCGTGGAGTTAAAAGATAAAGAATCACACATAAAGTGGGAGTTGTCACAGTTGCTCTTTTCTGATGACACTGTGCTCTTGGGAGATTCTGAAGAGAAGTTGCAGAGGTTGGTGGATGAATTTGGTAGTGTATGTAAAAGAAGAAAATTAAAAGTGAATACAGGAAAGAGTAAGGTTATGAGGATAACAAAAAGATTAGGTGGTGAAAAATTGGATATCAGATTGGAGGAGGTGAATGTATTTAGATATTTGGGAGTGGACGTGTCAGCGGATGGGTCTATGAAAGATGAGGTGAATCATAGAATTGATGAGGGGAAAAGGGTGAGCGGTGCACTTAGGAGTCTGTGGAGACAAAGAACTTTGTCCTTGGAGGCAAAGAGGGGAATGTATGAGAGTATAGTTTTACCAACGCTCTTATATGGGTGTGAAGCATGGGTGATGAATGTTGTAGTGAGGAGAAGGCTGGAGGCAGTGGAGATGTCATGTCTGAGGGCAATGTGTGGTGTGAATACAATGCAGAGAATTCATAGTTTGGAAGTTAGGAGGTGGTGCAGGATTACCAAAACTGTTGTCCAGAGGGCTGAGGAAGGGTTGTTGAGGTGGTTCGGACATGTAGAGAGAATGGAGCGAAACAGAATGACTTCAAGAGTGTATCAGTCTGTAGTGGAAGGAATGCAGGGTAGGGGTCAGCCTAGGAAAGGTTGGAGGGAGAGGGTAAAGGAGGTTGCGTGTGCGAGGGGCTTGGACTTTCAGCGGGCATGCGTGAGCGTGTTTGATAGGAGTGAATGGAGACAAATGGTTTTTAATACTTGACGTGCTGTTGGAGTGTGAGCAAAGTAACATTTATGAAGGGATTCAGGGAAACCGGCAGGCCGGACTTGAGTCCTGGAGATGGGAAGTACAGTGCCTGCACTCTGAAGGAGGGGTGTTAATGTTGCAGTTTAAAAAATGTAGTGTAAAGCACCCTTCTGGCAAGACAGTGATGGAGTGAATGATGGTGAAAGTTTTTCTTTTTCGGACCACCCTGCCTTGGTGGGAATCGGCCAGTGTGTTAATAAAAAAAATAATAAATAAAGGAATTAATATAAGATAATATGTAAGGAATGATGGCATGCAACAACAACAACAAAAAAGCTATTGAAATTCTGTAATAAAGTAGGCTTTTTTTTTTTTCTTGCATTTGGTCTAACCAAACACTGTACAAAGGAGTCTGAAAGACATACTGCATGGGTTCACAACAGACCAAAAATGTACATAAAAGCTATTTGTACAAGACTTGTAGACCGATGTGCCATGACTAGACATTTATAAATGTGCGTATATGAGGCTACCTTACCAGTCAAAAATACAGGGAAGGGTAATGTCACCATGGCTGTTTAATATATTTATAGATGGGGTTGTAAAAGAAGTAAATGCTAGGGTGTTCGGGAGAGGGGTGGGATTAAATTATGGGGAATCAAATACAAAACAGGAATTGACACAGTTACTTTTTGCTGATGATACTGTGCTTATGGAAGATTCTAAAGAAAAATTGCAAGGGTTAGTGTATGAGTTTGTGAGTGTGTGTAAAGGTAGAAAGTTGAAAGTGAACACAGAAAGGAGTAAGGTGTTGAGGGTATCAAATGATTTAGATAAAGAAAAATTGGATATTAATTTGGGGAGGAGGAGTATGGAAGAAGTAGATGTTTTCAGATATTTGGGAGTTGATGTGTCAGCGGATGGATTTATGAAGGATGAGGTTAATCAGAGAATTGATGAAGGAAAAACAGTGAGTCGTGCATTGAGGTATATGTGTGGAGACAAAGAAAGTTATCTATGGAGGCGAAGAAGGGAATGTATGAAAGTATAGTAGTACCAACACTTTTATATGTGTGTGAAGCTTGGGTTGCAAATGCTGCAGCGAGAAGGTGGTTGAAGGCAGTGGAGATGTCCTGTCTAAGGGCAATGTGTGGTGTAAATATTATGTAGAAAATTCAGTGTGTAATTTAGGTGTGGAGTTAATAAAAGTATTAGTCAGAGGGCTGAAGAGCGGTTGTTGAGGTGGTTTGGTCATTTAGAGAGAATGGATCAAAGTAGAATGACATGGAGAGCATATAAATCTGTAGGGGAAGGAAGGCGGGGTAGGGGTCGTCCTCGAAAAGGTTGGAGGGAGGGGGTAAAGGAGGTTTTGTGGGCAAGGGGCTTGGACTTCCAGCAAGCGTGTGAGAGCGTGTTGGATAGGAGTGAATGGAGACGAATGGTATTTGGGACCTGACGAACTGTTGGAGTGTGAGCAGGGTAGTATTTAGTGAAGGGATTCAGGGAAACTGGTTATTTTTATATAGCCAGACTTGAGTCCTGGAAATGGGAAGTACAATGCCTGCACTTTAAAGGAGGGGCTTGGGATATTGGCAGTTTGGAGGGATATGTTGTGTATATACTTCTAAACTGTTGTATTCTGAGCACCTCTGCAAAAACAGTGATTATGTGTGAGTGAGGCCAGAGTGTTGAATGATGATGAAAGTATTTTCTTTTTGGGTCACCCTACCTCGGTGGGATACGGCTGGTTTGTTAAAAAAAAAAAATTAAAATACATACTCACCTCTCGACTTCCTCCTCTAGAACCTCAATGGCATCTTGGTGAGCTTGTTGCCTGACAAGTGCTGCCATCTGTACTTCCCTCATGGTTGCTTCCAGCTGCCGTTTTTCTCGTCGCAGCTGAGATATTTCTTGGTCTTTCCGTGCTAACTCCTCCAGGTGGTGCAGGAGAGGACCTTCACTCCCACCACTAACTTGGGATAACAGAGCTGCTGTGGCTTCTAGGCTCCCAAGACCATTCTGCAACAGCCAAACTTTCCGTATGTATCACTCTCAGATATTTACAGTACAGTACTGGCTTACTGTGTGCAATTTTCTATCATAAACATTTTACTTTTATTCAAATTTTAAAATAAAATGATTGGAAGAAGTTACCTAAGCAGAGAATAATGTACCAAATGAAATAAGTTTTCTAATCTTACAAAAATATAAATTGCACATACGCATAAGATACAGTAGATAAGTTACATGAAAGGCACATAAAATCTTTTTTTTTTTTTTAATACACTGGCCATCTTCCACAGGGGCAGGGTGACTCATAAAAGGAACACTTTAGCCATCATTCATTCTATTTTTACCAGGAATTCGCTATTTTTTTTCCAACAAACTGGTCATCTCCCACCAAGGTAGGAAGGGGAGGGAAGGGGGGAGGGTGGCCCAAAAAGAAGAAACACTTTCACCATCATTCACTCCATGACTTTATTGCCAGAGGAGCTATATGTAGTAAAAATCCCCTATGTTATCAAAGCAGGTGGTTGCTGTACATGTTTTTTACTCTTATATAATCACCCAGGCCCAAGATTATTAGGTGACTGGATATACAGCACATGAAGTGGGAAAGGTAACTTTATGGAGAGGGTGCGAGATGTGAGAACACAGTAAGCAGAAGGTGGGTGTTGCTCACTCATCTCACCCACATCCTTCTCATTTGTTTCAAGCAGCTCATCACTACAGTTGCCAGGTTACAAACAAACAACAAATTTTATTTTTGTAAAGTGGAGTTTTGTACAGTATACAATTAGGATAACTGACATGAATAAACTATTTTATTGAAAGCCCCTTGTTATGCAAGGAATTTCAGGCAGCCTTAAAACTAAAATATGATTACTAGAGAATGAGACACATACAGTACATTACGATTACTAGACGATGAGACACATGTTGTACAGTAGACCATCGATTAACACAGTAAAGTTCATGGTAATTGAGTGTAAGACAAAACTGAGTAAAACAAACATACAGAAATCAACTAATTTAATCACATACACAGATCTGAGAACCGTATGGGACATGTATGTATGGACCAATGAGATGCAAGCTGTGAGAGGTGGGACGGGGATGAAGCTAGGGCTCCCCCACAAAGACAATGGCCTGATCCACAGGCAGGCTGCCCACAAGCATACTGAATGGAGGGAAAAAATCTCAGTCCAGCTCATGGAGCTCCAAATATTTCCCCGAGAAGTGACACTGAGCTAGATCATCGAAGATATGCCACAATTTTGCAATAGTGTAATAAAGTAAACATGTTAGAGGATTTCATGTTAATCTACAGTGTACTGTATGTTATTATGATTACTAGACAATGAAACACATGTAGTACATGATTATCATTACTAGACAATGAGACACGTTGTACACAACAATAATTATTAGACAATGAGATATATAGTATATAATTATGGTTACTAGACAATGAGACACATAGTACATGATTATGATTACTAGACAATGAGACAGAAAGGACTCGTAACGTTATTTTCGTCAAAACATTGGCTCGCGAATCGTCGTTTGACTCGCAAATAGTCGTTCGACACAACACCTCTCGTGACATACAAAATGACTTTTTTTATTCATTCTAGAGTATATTCCATGTTTCTATGTTACTAATATTGTTTATTATGTCATATTAGTTGAATTGTAATAGATAAATAAGCCGAAGAGTTGATATTAGTGTCATATTCTCCAACAATAAACTCGCCATCCCTCCCTCACACAAACAAGTCTTGTCTTCAATAAAGGTAAGTGATGTTAAATAAGAACATAACTTAAGAAAGGAGGAACACTGCAACAGACCTGCTGGCCCATACTAGGCAGGTCCTTCACAAATCCAACCCACTAACAGAACAAATGCTACCCAGGTGCAAGTCTGACTCAAATCCAACCTCTCTCACTCATGTAATTTTTTTTTTTTTTAACAAGTCAGCCATCTTCCACCAAAGCAGGGTGACCCAAAAAGAAAGAAAATCCCCAAAAAGAAAATACTTTCATCATCATTCAACTCTTTCACCTCACTCACACATAATCACTGTTTTTGCAGAGGTGTTCAGAACACAACAGCTTAGAAGCATACACGTATAAAGATACACAACATATCCCTCCAAACTGCCAATATCCTGAACCCCTCCTTTAGAGTGCAGGCATTGTACTTCCCATTTCCAGGACTCAAGTCCGGCTATATAAACATAACCAGTTTCCCTGAATCCCTTCAATAAATATTACCCTGCTCACACTCCAACAGATCGTCAGGTCCCAAATACCATTCGTCTCCGTTGATTCCTATCAAACACGCTCACGCACGCCTGCTGGAAGTCCAAGCCCCTCACCCACAAAACCTCCTTTACCCCCTCTTTCCAACCCTTTCGAGGACGACCCCTACCCCTCTTTCCTTCCCCTATAGATTTATATGCTTTCCATGTCATTCTACTTTGATCCATTCTCTCTAAATGACCAAACCACCTCAACAACCCCTCTTCTGCCCTCTGACTAATGCTTTTATTAACTCCACACCTTCTCCTAATTTCCACACTCCAAATTTTCTGCATAATATTTACACCACACATTGCCCTTAGACAGGACATCTCCACTGCCTCCAACTGTCTCCTCGCTGCTGCATTTACCACACAAGCTTCACATCCATATAAGAGTGTTGGTACTACTATACTTTCATACATTCCCTTCTTTGCCTCCATAGATAACGTTTTTTGACTCCACATATACCTCAACGCACCACTCACCTTTTTCCCTCATCAATTCTATGATTAACCTCATCCTCATAAATCCATCCGCCGCCCACGTCAACTCCCAAGTATCTGAAAACATTCACTTCTTCCATACTCCTCCTCCCCAATTTGATATCCAATTTTTCTTTATCTAAATCATTTGATACCCTCATCACTTACTCTTTTCTATGTTCACTTTCAACTTTCTACCTTTACACACATTCTCAAACTCATCCACTAACCTTTGCAATTTTTCTTTAGAATCTCCCATAAGCACAGTATCATCAGCAAAAAGTAACTGTGTCAATTCCCATTTTGAATTTGATTCCCCATAATTTAATCCCACCCCTCTCCCGAACACCCTAGCATTTACTTCTTTTACAACCCATCTATAAATATATTAAACAACCATGGTGACATTACACATCCCTGTCTAAGACCTACTTTTACTGGGAAGTATTCTCCCTCTCTTCTACACACCCTAACCTGAGCCTCACTATCCTCATAAAAGCTCTTTACAGCATTTAGTAACTTACCACCTATTCCATATACTTGCAACATCTGCCACATTGCTCCTCTATCCACTCTATCATATGCCTTTTCTAAATCCATAAATGCAATAAAACTTCCCTACCTTTATCTAAATACTGTTCACATATATGCTTCAATGTAAACACTTGATCTACACATCCCCTACCCACTCTGAAGCCTCCTTGCTCATCCGCAATCCTACATTCTGTCTTACCTCTAATTCTTCAATTATAACCCTACCGTATACTTTTCCTGGTATACTCAGTAAACTTATTCCTCTATAATTTTTACAATCTCTTTTGTCCCCCTTCCCTTTATATAAAGGGACTATACATGCTCTCCACCAATCCGTAGGTACCTTCCCCTCTTTCATACATTTATTAAACAAAAGTACCAACCACTCCAACACTATATCCCCCCCCTGCTTTTAACATTTCTGTCATGATCCCATCAGTTCCAGCTGCTTTACCCCCTTTCATTCTACGTAATGCCTCACGTACCTCCACCACACTTACATTCTGCTCTTCTTCACTCCTAAAAGATGGTATACCTCCCTGGCCAGTGCATGAAATTACCGCCTCCCTTTCTTCCTCAACATTTAAAAGTTCCTCAAAATATTCTCGCCATCTACACACAACAAATATAGTGTACAATTATGTATTAATAAATTTAAATAAATATATAAAATAACATTTTCCTTACCTTTATTGAAGATAGGTGATGGCATCTGGAAGATAGGGAGGAGGAGAGAGGGAGTTGGGGTTAGTGTTTGGAAGGGGAATCCCCCCCCATAATGCCACTAGGACCAGCTTGAGTCACTGGACCCCTGTCTCACAAAAAAAAACTGTCCACAGTCCTCTGTTTCTGGCGCCTCTTTAAGACTTCCTTAAAATGGGACATGGTTCTGTCACTTAACTTATTCCAAAGATGGCTTGTTTCAGTTTGCTCAGGGTGGTACTTCTCCACAAACATTTGGACATCATTCCACTTGGCACAAATCTCCTTAATCTTTGAATCAGCATGCAACACCCTTGCCTTTCACAAATAATCGTCTCTGAAACACTATCACCTGCCATCTCTTTATCCTTGATCCACACCAGCAACAACTTCTCAACCTGATCGATTGTCTGTGGCCTTTTTTTGGTTAGCATATTAACACCTTTTGCAACATTAGCTTCCTTGATTTGTTCTTTCTTTGCCAGGATAGAAGCAATGGTTGACTAGTTTTTCCCATACATCCTGGCAAGCTCAACAAGTTTCACACCACTCTCATACTTCTGTATTATTTCCTTCTTCACATCTATGGTGCTTCTCACTTTCTTTACCACAGGGTAGTCTTGATCCCATCAGTTCCAGCTGCTTTACCCCCTTTCATTCTATGTAATGCCTCACGCACCTCCCCCACACTCACATCCTGTTCTTCACTCCTAAAAGATGGTATACCTCCCTGGCCAGTGCATGAAATTACCGCCTCCCTTTCTTCGTCGAAATTTAAAAGTTCCTCAAAATATTCTCGCCATCTACCCAAAACCTCCATCTCCCCATCTACTAACTCCCCTACTCTGTTTTTAACCGACAAATTCATTTGTTCCCTAGGCTTTCTTGTTTAACTCACTCCAAAATTTTTTCTTAATTTCATTAAAGTTCCTTGACAGTGCCTCTCCCACTCTATCATCTGCTCTCCTTTTGCACTCTCTCACCACTCTCTTC